TTCTGTATAACCAACCAAATAAGATGAGTCTTCATAATTAATGTTTTATACTCATGCAGTTGGCATGCTGTGAAACTTCAGCATTTAATACTCAATCATGTCAATAGCAAGAAACATAAGTGTATCTTGTGCAATCTCTTTAGCTGCTGGATGTGTCCTATGTATACCACATTAGTTTCATGTCAGTATAGCAGAGTCTTCAGTATTGGTGTCCTGTAGCCCTTCACCTTAGCCAGGCTGAACAGTCTTGTGCTGAAGCTGCTGGCTGCAGCTGTCAAGAGTCTAGGATTCGGGCGGGAGGGCAGAGGGAGGGAGCCCCCACCACCAGCTGGACCCAACCCAACCCCCACTCCAAGATCTGATCCAGGAATCTGTGGGGTGGGGGGGGAGAGGAGAAGTCTGCATGGCAGGAGGACTCCCCCCAATCCCCTTAACAGATGCAGCTTAAGATGGTCTGGCTCAGGTTTTGACCATGCTGGGAACTGAGGGTGGAGAGAGAGAGAGAGAGTCCCTGCCACATGGACCCGACCCATTGGGTCCCTGCCACATGGACCTGACCCTCCTCCCTCAACACCTGACTCAACAAGCTGAAGGGGGCCTATGTAGCATAGCACAAGGGCTTCCTTCCTTCTCTCTCACCACCCAGCCACTGCTGACAGTTGCCAGCTTGCAGGAGGCAGGACTTGGGAGAGGGATCACTCCAGCAGCCTGTGGGGGGTGCTTCTGTATGCCTCACCTGTTGGCCTTGGCCAGTGCAGGCAGGCTCCGAGCCTTCCCTCCAGAACAGTGAATGTCTGTTCAGTTTGCTTGTGCTCTTACTTACAGCACTTTAAGTAAAGCACAGTAATTAGAGTGCTTCCGCCGGGGGTGGGGTGGGGTTTGAACATCTGTGTTTAGCTGTGGATGACAGTATTCAACATTGGATAAAACCTACCATGCTGCCTTTGGACATCTCTAAAATCATGTTCTTAGTCAGCATGACATCAGGACCCAAACCAAATTTTGTCTTCCTGGCTGTTGTCATTCCTACCTTGCTATATGGGTGTAAAACTGGTAAAATGTACTAGAAATGCATGTAAGCTTTGGAACATTACTATAAGCAATATCTTTGACAAATTCTACATATCAGTTGGAAGAGCAGAAGAACTGCTGCCAATGTTTTGGCTGAAGCAAACTCTAGCAGCATTGATGCCATGTTTATATGGTATATCATAAGGATGCCTAGTCACTGGATCGCAAAAACAGGTCCTCTACTCCCATCTCACCAATGGTCACTGCTCTAGAGGTGTGGAAAAAAAGAGGTTACCAAAATTGTTAACATCAATGCTTGGGAGACTCAAGCACAGAATCGTCCCCAATGGTGCTATGATGTACAACAAGGTATTGATCTCTTTGAGTAAACTCGCATCACTATGGAGGCAGACAGACAAGAGAAACAAAGGGAGAGAGCTGCGACTTGACATTACCAGAATATACTTCTTTCTCCTTAAATTATTTGCTAGGTCTGTAGTCGAACATGCAGATGCTAGCATACAAAAGTTGCCAGATAGTTTGTTTGGAAATCTTAGACCCCATTTGTAGTCTAGAGAAAGTATGGTACTTCCAAATGTACTTGGAAGTGAAAATGTATTTCAATATCCGCTGTTCATCCTGCCCAATATAGTGGCATAAAACAACATAAAAGGATTGATTCCAGGATACAAGAAAAGGTTAGATAAAATTTTGTTACAAGAAAAGGTTAGCCAGGTCACCAGTCAGATATGATTTTCTGCCAAACCTAACTTCATGGTGCTCTTAAGTGGCGATAACAATTACTCAGGACAGCCAAGCTTCCCACTGAAGTTCCAGAGTTAGGATGAGTTGACAATGTATAGCTTTAGTGATTTCAGAGAAGGCCAAGTAGAAATCTTGGTTTTGTTAGCGGCACTTTTCTTGAATTTTGATCAGCTAGGTCTACTGTTCTGAGGATATCTCTGAAACATTTACTATTGGATTTCCCTATCCATAATGTACAGCTGTGAATAGTACAGGAGAATCCAAAGTAGAATCATGTCAAGAGCAGCCAAGAGAGAGATCTGCCAGTGCTTGACTTCTCACTTTTGCCATTATAAAATGAAATAGCAATTGTATTGTTAAAGTCTGTTGTCATTAAATTTGAAGCAAAACCTCCATTTGATTCAGTGGGAGTCAGATCAAGTATTCAAGTTGTACATCCTGGTAGAAGAGGACATATATCATTTAAGATGTTGTGCTGATTATCAACGACTTAAGATTATATATTGTCCTGGAGAAACTTACTTCATAAATATCTTCAAAATGAAATATTCCATAAAGAATTAAAAGTCATACACTCAACTAGAATTGTTTAGTTAGGAATGGTCCTACCTGGAGCAGGGAGCTGGACTACAGTATGTCCTGAGGTTTATAGCAGCCTACTTTAATATGATCCCATAATATTTAAAAGTCACTTTTAAGTTAAGAGATTCCTCACTACCACATCACTTTTTCTTAGTATACCAAGGAAGAGAGGGGCAAACAAAAGGGTACAAAATTGACATTTATAATGAGAAATGCCAGTGAATATATGAAAATTTGCTTGTAAATTTTTAGCCTTATATACATCTCTCTTACAATACAAGTTTTTGGTAAAGTTTTCCAGCCTCCCAAACACTGATAGTGATAAAATACCCTCATGACTGAACCTAGAATCTGAAGGCAAAATTTGGCTCTTGAATTGAATTTATTCTTATGGTTGAACCACATGAAATGGCTAGATTTCATATGCTCTCTACCTCATGCTATAAATCACTCCCTTGTGATGAGAAACTTCTTACATACTTGAACTTGAGTGAACCTGACTTGAGTTACGTTGGTAGTGAAATCTCAAAAAAAACAAAAACAAGGAGAAAAAAGTTTGGATCTGTATTGAGCTCCTCTTTGAAAAGTTTTAAACATCTAGCACCTTTTCATCCATGATGTAAAGATAATGAAGTCAACAGAGTTATTTTAAGAATAAATGTAATCAATGTCTTTTTCTTTCTTCTTAACTACTCAAAGATGCAACTAATCATGGATACACCTAAAATCTACCTAATAGTACTGCTTGAGGTTCTTTGTCATTATAGAATATACCAATTCTGTATGTGGCAGAACTTTAGCCCTTGCCTATAAATCCTTTTCTTTATTTACAGATTTAGGAATATAAAAGATTCCTGAAGTAAAAAATAAAGAAATATTATGCTACTCACAAAACAAAGTATAAGGTAATTTCATATACTATCATACTTTAGCAGCAGGAAAAAAACAACGCTATTTCCCATTTTGCATGAATCGGGAGCGCTATGAACATATCCGAATAACCTTTCTTTTTCAAGAAATAATGTTCTAGTTCTAGTCACAAAATATAAAGACTACATATATTGCATATGCAATGACTGTCCTATTCCATTTATGATCCTGAAATGGGAGATTTAATATTAGTTGTATTAATATTTTATTTAATATTTTAATGTAATATTTTTATATTGCAGTTTATATCGCTTGGTTACTCAAACAAATCAGCCTGAGTCACATAAAGATTTGCTCTTAAGAATTTGATATTTTCCTGGTTAAACTTTCCTGGGAAAGCAAATCAGCTAATGGTTTTAATAATTCAGAGGGCTAAATTGGGATAGGAGTTTCTGTCTGATAATGAGAGAATGCATTGAGATACTCTACCTATATTTGTTTTTACCATGGTGCAGATATCTTAAATACCTTGCTTTTGTGCCACTAAGAAAACTGAAAATGAGGCAAATCAACAAACAACCATTTTCCATTACCTAACGCTGCCCCCCCCACAAAAACAAGAACAAAAAATCAAACCAAAAGAGTGCCACACTAAATTTGATAGGAAATGTTTATGTTTCTTTTTCTCTCTGTAGTACTTGTATATAAATAGCTACATTTAAGTACACTGCAAACTAAAGTTTTCCTGGGCTCTCTGTGTCCTGGCATCAGAACAGATGAGGTCTTAGGCCTTTTATCAGTTCTTCTATATTTAAGATTGAGTTTGAATGTTACATTGGTTTATACTGTAAGTACTTCAACCTAGGAAATGTTTATATTAAAAAGTTTGCTTCTTGTCATGTTGTATTTCTTCTGATGCATATGATGCTCTCTTTTTGCCATTTAAAGTACCTTGGGGAACAAGTGTTTCACCATTTCTTGGTTTCTAAAACTGCTTTGCATTAGGCTTTCAGGCCTCTTGATAACAAGATTAATAAAACACTGGATTACTTGTAAATCAAATCGGGTGGAAACATTTCAAGTAAAGGCTGCAATATTGAATACGTAAGTGCTAGCGGTATTAATTCCCCAGTCATCTTTAAAGTTCCTAAATTGAAAAGTTTAGGGCAAAAAAACAGCTCACTATATTTTTCCTGTGTTTCTCCTATAACATTTTGAAAGCAGCTACCTAAATATATTTGTAGACCTCCCATTAGGTGGGAGTTGTCAGATAACCTTTATAGTCATCACCTCAGCCATTAGTGATGTATGCATGGGAGATAACTAAATTTCTTTCTTTGATATATGGCTTTGCAGCTACACAGTCAAATATGATCTGAAGTAAAATATGTTCATAGATTTCTTCGACATTAGGGCTGGATGGGACCTCGGAAGATCATCGAGTCCAGCCCCCTGCCCCAGCGGCAGGAAGTCAGCAGGGGTCATAGGATCCCAGCAAGATAAACATCCAACTTTTTCTTGAAGGTGTTCAAAGTAGGTGCTTGAACCACCTACAGTGGCAGGCTATTCCAGACCTTGGGGGCTCAGACAGTAAAGAAGTTCTTCCTTATGTCTAGCCTGAAACAGTCTTAGAGGAGTTTATGACCATTTGGCCTTGTCTTCCATTAGGGTGCTCTGGTGAACAAACGTTCCCCCAGATCCTGGTGAGCACCCCTTATAAACTTAATTAAAAGTTTTCAACTTATGCTGTATATTTTTCTGTTTACTTTGAGGATTCAGTGGATATGAATAGAACAGAAATGACCTACTGGAAACCACTCTGCTTCACTGCCAACTAGAGAGAGACCAAAAGATAAACGATTTACCTTGCAACTTGCTGACTTGTAAGGACAGTCAGCAGTGGAGAGCTATGATAATACAACAAGTCCTAGTTCTGCTGCTGCTCTGGGTATATCTGCCACATCCCTGCTGTACAGAAATGTTCTTCAGAAGGACTACTGAGCACCAGCCAAAAGGCTTTGTGACACGTGCTTCAGGAAGTGATGGGAAAGCGCTTTACCGCCAAAAACGAGGCTGGATGTGGAACCAGTTCTTCTTGCTGGAGGAATATACAGGATCTGATTATCAATATGTTGGCAAGGTAGGTCTGTGTTTTAGTTTGATTCTCTATGATTTTCTTGTGTATTTCCTCTCCTATTTTTCTCAAGCTATTGCTTGTGACTTTTTCTCATAGATGCAAAGAACGTTTCTAGTCAACTTCACATGTTCTGTTAGAAATCCTAAAAATAATAAGAATGAAAACAGCTGGTTAAATTTACTCAGAAATGTTCCACTAAAACAAGCTAATGTGTATTTTGCAAGTAATTGTGTTTTTTTCTTTTTAACATAATTCCTGCTATAACCTATTCAATTTCCTCTTCTATATCTGAGTCTAGTATTTTACATGTCTAAAAACAAATACATTCTAAAATTGTATCATATTTTTCTCTTTAACTGTTTCTTCTTTCAAGCAAGTTATTACAGACTCCTTTTTTTGGTTTCTGTGCTCTTTGCATAGAGTCCTTCTAAAAACAAAATGCCCCCTTTCCAACTCTCCCTGTGTCTAAATAAATTGTAGAGGTTGACCTTCATTAAGAGAAGGTGTGAAAAGGGAAGATATATGCAGGATGAAATTGTGAACTTAATCTTATTGACACTAAAACAATTTCTATGCTCCCAGATCTAAGCACAGGTTATTAAACTACTTAAAGTACTTGTGGGTAGCTTGTTTCAGTCCCATGTGTTTGAAGTCTGTATACTTGCACTGAGGCTGTGGTAGTGCAGATCTCACTCCAATATTTTAACATCACACAGTGATAGAATAGAGAGAATAGATGGAATGGCTACAAAACAAGAATTCCTGCAAGGAGAGGTTTAGATGAGTGTCTTTATTATATATTATGACAAAAAAAGATACCTTTGTGTCTTTACTTTTGTCACCCAAAGCATATACAAATGGGGACTGCTGGAAAAACAAATTTAAGTAATCAATAGTAGAAGTGCCATGGACAGAATGGAATGCATGTACATAACTGCACTGACCACAACCCATATTCCTAAATCTTCTCTTTATATATTACCACAATCCATCAAAGACAAAGCCAAGTGAGTTCCTGTACTGTCTTTTAAGATCTGTGAGTACCAATATTCAGGCAGAACAACCCCCTTCCTCACTCTGGTTTCTCACATTATCCTTCCTAGCTGTTAGTCTCTCAGGTTTTGTGAATTAAGAATTTGTTCTGCTTAAATGTTGGCTGATGTACCACTAAGGCTTTACCTTTTATCACCTTTGTAAATGGCAAATTCACTGAGATTTAACCAGCATTTGGAATTGCCCTTTAATGTGACAGTAAGTGCCTATGATGATGTGATTTATTATGCCACAGTATTGTGAGTGATATCCACATTATATAAAAGCACCCAATTCAAATAACCTCATGGGGCGCATCCACCTGAGTGCAAATGTGCATCTCGCAGCATCTCAAAGCCCTTTGAGCTGCTGCAAGAGGCACTTGCAGGAATGAGAAAATGTTCCCCATGCTGCAAATATGCATCACAGGGGCACAATTAGACCCCTGGATATCCAGAGGTCAAAAAAAACCATGGCAGAAAAAAATGGAGCAGGGCATGGGACCATGGCCTGAGGCAACCAGAGGCTTGGTCCTCCACAGAGACATCTGTGCAGACATCAGTCCTCCCTGTGTCATCCAGCCAGGCCACTTCTGGGCATGCAGGACCTGGGATGGTGTGGCCAGCAGTCCCTGCAAGTAGCACACTGTCCTGGGTGACAGCCTGGAGTTGCCTGAAAGCACAGAGCTCCGCTCCATGCTGCATCATGCTGCACCATGCCAAGCTGCAGCAGTGCACTGTGGCAGAGGCCACACAGATACCTGGAAGCTGGGGCCAAGCCATGCTGCCTCCCCCATCATGCAGGGGGGCTGTGCTACAAGGCCAAGAGCATGGCTGCTGTTGCTGGTAAGCTGTGGGGAGGTTGGAGCCAGGCGGAGAGGGTGCAGGGGGGCTGCAGCTGAGCAGGGGAGCATGCAGTGGGGCTGCAGGCAGGCGGGGAGAAAGCAAGCAGGCCACAGCCGGACACAGGCCAAGCAGGTTGACAAACCCACCCCTCCCAAGTTGCCCCCCTATGGTCTCCTGCACCCTCATTAGTCCCCATCTGCTCCTCCAGCTCCCCCCATTCCCTACTTACCTGGCATGGAGCCAGGTCCCAGTTGATGTGACCCCTGTCCATGTGGTGTGCAGGGGGGCTGTGCCCTGTGAGGGACAGGGAACCCACCCCTCCTGAGCAGCCCCACCTTGTAGCCCCCTCCACACCCATACTCCTCCCACAATCCACCCACAAACCCCACAACCCCAAGCCACCCCCAAAAACCTCTCACCCATATTCCTGGCCCTGTGGGGCAGGAGTGAAGGGAATGGGGTGGTGGGGTAAGTTGTGGGTTGAGAGTGAGGAGCAAAGGCAGGGACAGGACAGTGGCACATCAGTGCTGCTCAACTCTGCACATCCTGGTGAGTGAAGTGGGTAGTGGCAGCTCTGATTTTTCTATGACAGAGAAGCTCAAAGTCAATGCCAAACTGTATAGATAAGTAGAATTAATTTTATTATGATGATGGAGGCACTGGTAGGCTTCCAAGTTGCTTTACAATTGTAAATATATCAATAAAACATTGCCCAACTAATCTCTCTCTCTCTCTCTCTCTCTCTCTCTCTCTCTCTCTCTATATATATATATATATCTA